TGACGGTAAGCAACTAGCTTTGTTATTTATCGATTAAATCGTAATTGTTATTGAACTTAAAGCAAAAAAAATCACGTAATTTTTTATATGAAAAGTTCGTTGAAAACCGACAGCTATATTAAGCTTTAAGGGTTTACAAAAGGTTTAACTTTCACTTGTTTATATTCCTTGAGCTGGCTTTCATAATCCACTCAATAAAAATATATAATATTTATTTAAACACACTATTAGCCGTCTGCGTTTTGTTTATTATTATTTACCTACATATTTGTTTCCTTCCATACATAATTGCCTTCCTTTTGCTTTTCAAAACCCATAAAGCTGAGTGATAGTCAGTTTTATCGTAATTGTCGCCATTATTTATCTTTATGAAGCGCTATGTCTTTATTTATTCTATAAGTTACTTAAGACAATGCTTCATTTATTCTATAAATTACTTAAGACAATGCTTCATTTAAGGCTAAGAACAACAATGAGCAAGTATGTACATTTTTTATGACTGTGTTAAGCCTTAACATTTTTTTGGTGTCGACTATATTTTTTTGGAAATCCTGCTTATATGATCAATATAATAAATAATTCTATGTTATATAAAATTATCGGTTTGCTAACTTCCGGGAAATGGTGAATCGAACAAGCAACTGTCATAAATAAATCGTATATTAGTCTGTATAGCTTCTATTGTTTTTTTAGGCTTTGGACTTTTGGGTTGAACAGCCTACTATGTTGTGTCAATTACGTATAAATTTATAAAGCCACACTCGATTGCCTATAGTTACTCGCCTGACGAAATAGAATCACTATCACTTATCACAGGGAATTACTTTCTATTCAGAAAATTTACTTAATTAGGAAGAAATAATAATTTTTCAACGGAATTTTTAATTAATTTTTTACTAAATTTTTCCATTTCAGCGCCTGCTGAAAGCTCGAAGAAGCACATATCTAAACCATATATTAGTATAAACATTTTTACAAAATAAAAAAAAAATCATTATTAACAAGCACAAGCTATGAAATATAGAGAAAAGCAAGCCTTTAAAGTGTAGACGTCCTCATTATTCGCCTAAGTAAGCAAAACAAAAACAATAAACGCAAAATTAATTAAGCGAAAAACACAAATATGTTAAAATATTGGCAATCTAGGCGATACTTGTCAGCGCCAAGCTGTAACAAAAAAAGAACACCACACTATAACATAATTATACACTCGGTTGTAGGAAATATTATATACTCTCACATATCTATGTATATACAGTACATGTAGAAGAACATATGCTCATTAGTGTGCGCAACTGACGAGTAGCTTTTCATGACACACATGCGTACATCTGTTTGCCAGACTTTATACTTACAACAACAAGTTGAGATAATTAATTGGTTTTTGTTTTCAATTTACTTTTTGTGGCTTCGTTGTTATTTTTTATGTCGCAGCATTTTCTTCTTGTCAGGCACACAAATCAATGAATGTGAAGATGAAAAATAGATGATATGAAATAAGGAAAGGGAGAAATTATTATATATATACGTTTACAGTTATACTGAAAATGCAGGCTATGTGCAGAGCTGGAAAAACTGCATGTAAAATGCAATGTGATTTTTTGTTCTCCAGTGTCTCTGCAAATGACATTTTAGAAGAATCTCTACGAGTTTGTTGATAAAAATATGTTGCAGATAAAAAATTGTGTTCAAGCTAAGAGCGTATAGCTCGCACAATTAAAAATATTAAAGATATTATATACGAGATTGTATATTTGGAGAAAATATGAGTATCTAGGAAAAAGTATTTTAAAAAAATTTCCAAAAAAAATTTCAGTAAAATTTAAAAAAAAAATGTTTTTTAAGTGTTGCCAGCATATTTTAAATAAAAATGTTAAATACAACTAGAAAATTAGAAATTTTTAAAATTTGCAATGCCGCCATAGTACTAATTTTCACCTTGCCACCTGCAATTTTGTGTATTGTATGTATTGAATATAAATGTATTGCATAAAAAAATTCAACGCAAGACTCAAGTCGGTAAAACTATTTATACATATAAATCATGCCTGGCGCAATTTCGAGCTATTTTTAAATCTCGACTACGCCATTCGGTAATTTTTAGAATATTTAAAAACGGTATACATATCGAATATAAAGCAATTTGAATCATTAATACGATTTTTTAGATATAAACGGTTGCTGCGCCATCTAGCGTTAAATTTGTTTGCAAGTGCAATCTACTTGCAATTGTCAATATATAGCTGGACTATAAGTCAAATCGAATATAAATGTTGTGATATGATATGGTGAGTATTGTTGGATAATTGTTAAATATTCTGATTAAATTGATGATAATTTGTGAAGCAAATATTTTTCACTCGTTATTGAAAAGATCTTCAATCTTCAACTTTTTCAAACCAAAAGCAAAACTACCGTTATATAATACCCAATCAAAATTTTTTTAGCGAACCAGTCTTACATTTATCCATATACATATACATACATGCATACACACAAACATAATTTGCTCTGTTGTGTCACCAAGTATGACCCAGCACGCAATTGTGCTATGCCAACGCGCCGACCTTGACTTTTATCTCAATTGAAACCAAACGTGAGCTAACAAAATACAGTTTCCTTCTCATACATACAAAAGTGGATGATTGCATGATTAAGTACACATAAATACATACATATATATGTACATACACATATGTGCTCGTATAAATTATTTTGTGTACAAACAAAAGCTAGAGTGCGTAGTATTGCGGCTCACTATATTAGCGGCAGTGGCAGCAGCAGCAGCATTGGTCATTGAACTGCAGCGCTGCTGGGCAGTAAACAGCGCTTGCGTGTGTACATATAAGTAGAGTGCAACGCTGTGCTCCCTATTGGATAAACAATCTTGTCTATGTGATTGTGCAAGTGCATTCAAATGTATTGACTAGCTGCCAAGTTGACGGACAAGCGTGCTGATTGCGTATTATACTCGCTTTAACGTGCACTTGCCGCAACGTGTACACACACGTGCAAGTGCATTAGGGTGTGTGCGATTTCTATACTTTTTATAAGGTATTCATTTATTTAAAAATTGAAGGTACATTGTTTAGTATAGATATTTGGCGCATAAGAGGATATACATATATAAATTTAAATATTGCTGTTATCATGAATTATTTCAAATTACGATTTCGGAATGAGACCAACTTTTCTGTTTTTTTCGTAGTACAATTAACAAATGATGTATTATATGTTATTCTGTCTGACATTTTATGTCGAAAGTAGACCGTTATATTCGAAAATATTCTTTTATTTAACAATTTAGTTTGACATAAGTTGAACTTACGGTGGCGGAACTCGCCTACATTGACTCTTTATATGTATAAATATTGAAATATAATTAAGAAATCTAATCATTCTACCGAAAAACTTCAAGCATTACTGACTTTTTCTCGAATTTAAATTTTTTTGTGGATGAAAATCTTTTTTTATGCAGTTTTTTAAATTTTTCCAAAGTAATATTTACCTTAGAAATAATTTATTTTGGTTTTCAAATACCTTTGTCATATTGTTTTAACAAGATTTAGAATTAATATAGCTCATGAATGTGATATGTTACATTCAATACCACCAAAATAGTGAATCAACTAATTTTCTTAATGCTTTAATATTATTTATGTTTATGTTTTATCATTTTGCTTCACTATTAAGGTTTTAAAAACCTTATTTTAATAATAATATATTTTAAAACAATTTTGTAAAATTTTGAATACATGATTTAAAAAAAGTTTTCTACCTTAATAATATACCATCAGTACTTATAGTTTATAAATTTATAATCGTTCGAACACAGACTATTTTCAATGTATGTTCTCTTTATGAAGCGTAAAAAACGTTCCACCCTAATATTCTACAAAATTACTTCCATATATACATGCCTTACTGTTTACTCCTCTATACGTTTGCATTGCACACAACAATGTATTGATAACAATTTCAATTAATAAGCTGCTCCACCGGCACTTTTATTTTATTGTGGCAAAAGATGAGAAAGACTTTATGAAAAAAACATTGTGGCCGCGCATGTGAAGTACACACACATACATATATGTGTATATGTGCACATCTTACGCCATTTATCAATACGCAATCTACGACGCCATATTCCGTTTTGTTATTAATTTTTAAATTGTTGGTCACTTCACTTCAAACCATTGCGCAATGTTGTGATGAGTTTCGAGTATTTTTTTATTCATTCATTAATTAAAATGTGTGCGGTATTTTTAAATGATATATGCATGTGTATTGGTATGCGTGCGTACTTGAGTAAACACTTATTTCTTGGAAGAGTCTGTAGGATCGCTACTCAACAGTTATGCGCCTACATAACAATTAAACGCCAACCATTTGACCCAGATATAGCGAATAAGCAAAAAGGCGTTGCCATGTGTTTTAAATTATAAAATTACGCATAATGTAGAACTATAATATACACGTATATATATTTTCAGTATGGCTGCAAATGAAAAGGCAAACGTTTTGTTATACAAAATATTTTTTTGGGTTGCCACTTGAATTTAAATAATTATAGCTTTCAAAAAAGGTTTTAAGTAAATACTTTGCACTAAATTGCGAAATTAAAGCCTTAAAATGTATACTAATGTGTGGTGCTTCAGTGTAAGTCGAATCGAGTTGCCAGCCTTTTAAAAAAAAAACCTGAAATAATTTTTTTTGAAATAAACTTTGTAAATAAAAAATTCAATTTAATTTTTTTTCATTATGGAGTAGTAGTGCTGCCACTCTTTTCAAAAAATAAAAAAATATTTCTAAATAATTATTCTTATTTAATATCTTCACTTTCTAAATATAAAAAACTAATGCAATGTTTTCTCCAATTACAGTTTCTACATTGATTTAAAAACAGCACACTGGCTTCACCAAATAATACAGCACCGCCGGTGCTCTGGCGCGCGCGTCGCAAAATTGGTAAGTCTCAAAAGAAAAATGGAAAAATATGATTAAAAATACTATAGTATTAGTTTTATTAAAATAATTCAAAATTGATTTTTTCACACATAAAATGGAACGTACAGAATTTTAAGCTATTTTTTGCGATTTATAAAGATCTTTAGACGTGGCGGCGTTTTAGGCTGCCTCGGCGGCTCTGGGCGCGTGCTCGGATCAGGTGTTTCGGCTTCCAGACGCTTAATATCATCACTCATTTTAGCTAAAATCTCCTCTAAAGTTGTTATATGTTTAGTCAAACTAAATATTTAAATTAAATTATTAATTAGGCATTAAAAATATCAAAGGGAAAACGAACTTGTCTATTTGCTCGGCGTCACGTTTGTTCTTGATGGTCTCAAAGTAGCTAAGGAGGATAGCGTAAATATCAAGTTTAAAATTATATAGAGTCACTAAAAATTACTTTTGAATTATCTCTTTCTTCGACACGCGCATTTTTTTCTCTAGCCTTGGCGTTGGTGGAAAAGGTGGCTCATTCTCGTCGTTCAATTCGCGTAACGGTTGGGTGTCGCGCTTTGAGTTCGAACGTTTGCATAAGCCTATTGCTTTGAGCGCCTTCTTACCGCCATCTTTGCTCTTATCCCAGTACTTCTTAAAGAACAGCGGCATTTGTTTTTTCTCCGGTGGTATTTCATTATTTTTTATGTCGCGGAAGGTGTCGTAAATGATAGCCAAAAACATGTTCTGTGAGAGGGTATAATCTTCTATAAATTTTTGTCATCTAATATTAATAATAAATAGCTACTTACAACAAGTATAAAATATACCATGAGTATGAAGGAGAGAAAATATATTGGTGCCAGCACAGGATTGGCATGTTCTGCAGCAATATAATCAAAATCGGCTAATACCATACGCATGACGCTCCAAAATGCAATGGGAAACACGAAAAAATCCTCGTGCGTATGGCCGAATAGTAACATGCCGAGCATGGCATACGAGAGGAAGATTATGAGAAATATGAGCACGAAGTTGAGCAGATCTCTATAGCACTGAAAGTGAAATTTTCGAAAAATTTGGAAATGATTGGTTTTTAGTATACTTCTAGGCGAAAGGTGTAAAAATAATTTAGTGATGTTTTCTAAGTACCTCAGCGAAGGCACACTACACGTGCATTTTCATGCTTACCTTCACGAACGTCGCATTTAATTGTATCGATGTTTTGTTGAAGGTGAAAAACTGAAATATCTTAATCCAAACTAAAAACGCCAGCACCGCTACCAAATTCATATAATGCGAGTTCAACCAACAAATCACATCCAAGCTGTGATATTCCATTGGTAATGCTGTGGCATGCTTCAAATAATAATGTAAATAAATTGGATGGAAAATATTATAACTGAAGGAGAGTATAACAAGCTGGAGAAGAGAAAAAAATTCAGTTGATGCTAAGCCAGAGAATATACTTTTTTGACTTACAAGCAGTATAACTAAGTCTACAATGTTCCAAAAGTTTTTCAAATATTTTTTATAACCACGCCTACGGCATTCCAATATTTCACCAACAAAATAGTACATGGCCATTATATAGAATATGATAGCTGAGAGTATGATCCATATGCTACCTGTCCAGACAGCATGCTTTTGCACCGCCTGCACTTGTATATATAATAAAACGCCACCAGTGACCGGAACCTCGCCCAGAATTCTGAAAATATGTTGTAGATTTTCAAGAATTTATTGGAAAGGTTAAAAATTAGTTAGTTAGTACCCAAAAGTAGGCTACAATGAAGTTGATGAACTATTTAGGCAGACAAAGGCGCGTGGCTTTGGTTTATCTGCTTTCGAATAATTTTTTTTTTCAGTTTTTTTTTTATAATAAACATCTTTGTGATTTTGGAAGGAAAAGTATATACATATGTATTGTATTAAAGTATTTGAGTTTTTTGCTTGTTCAAAAATGAATTTTTAATTGATAGTCTTCTGATTATAATCTTATAATATAATCAATACACTTTTTGTTTGTTTATTTTTAATTGCCAGTAACGTACTATTTATGTCGTGCTTTTTGAAATTTTGAAATAAAAACTGTGTTCTATGTTATATTTTATATATTCAGAGGAAAATTTCAAATATTTTTAAACAATGTGTTGCCTACCTTTAGGGAGTTTAGCACTTCTCTTTGTAAGTGTTGTTATAAATTGAAAGAATTTTATGTTACTCACTTGACATTATTAAAGAGGTCTGTATTGTTATTGTAGAGTGTAAATTCGAAAATCATAAGTCGCGTGCCGCGATCCAACCAGTCAAGTTGCGCCAACGATTCAATCAAAGGCAAAGATTCATTAAAAGTTCGATCCAAATTCTGCACGAAACCACCACCCCAATAGGTGTGTATTCGACCGCGGATCGACATCGTGCTCAAATGATATGCAGATTCATATTTAGCGCTGAAATTTTCAAATTATTTATTTTTTAAAAATTTCACACACAAAGACAAAGTCTCACCCTATATGTTCGCCAGTGATTTGCAAATCCGAATACGAATAATCTGGATAACAAATGAAATGAAAATATTTGACAAAACTCTTGCTGCCGCTACAATTTGTCTCCACGACACGTAATTGGCGTAGGCGTGGTGTTCCCAATAATATATTCTCTTCCAATTTTATAATTTTATGTGCAGCGTAAGCTGTGCTTGCATTGACGCCTGTAATATTCGTATTTTCGGTAGCGACACTTTCGTTGCTCGTTTGTGGTGGTAGCAACACTTCCGGCAAAAATGAGTTCGATAGTTCCCACCACCATTCATTGTAGGTAACGAGTCGTTCGTGGATCAAAAAGTGCTGTTTAATAGCGTGATTGAAGTAGTACATGTAGTGGTGGCGAGCAGAAACGGCAACTGAAATAGTTAGAGATAGCATTCAAATATTTATTTGCTAGAAATTTTTGGGTTACTCACCTATAGTGGTCATTACTATGAAAACACAATAAAGGGATACGGCCCTCAGCGCTTTTTTGATATTGGATTCGCTATCATACTTAACGCGTGTTTCGAAATTCATTTTTCTTGTCCAATGAAGCAAAATTATTGATTCGGACGGCAGACGAAATCGAAAATGAGAATTAATAAATTTTCAATTGTCAAACTGAAAGAGTGTTGTAAATTGCACTTGTTGTAGCTATACTCGTAGTGCTGAGAAAATTATAAATTGAAAATTTTAAATCAAAAATAAAAAGTGAATTTTTGAAATCTGCTCTCAAAACAAGAGCTGCGTTCGAACATTATTTAAAAGTGCTCTAAGTCTAACTAAGGCTTGATATACTAAAAATATCTTTCAAAAACCGTTGCTCAAAAACGTTTTTAATTCCGTTTTTATTTATATATAGTGTTGAAATGAATTACTGTATTTAAAGTATTTATTAGTAGCCAATAGTAAAAAATTTATATGTCAGACATATTTTTATTTCAAAAACTCCAGTAGTAGACATCTAAGTAAGTTAAAGACATGATAGGAAAGCTTTTTGCCTTTGGTCGGAGCTTCAAAAAATTTATAATTTTCTCTCATACATTTCAATACCAATGTTTAGATATAAAATATATTTGATGATAGATAGTAACTCTTCTTAATTATTTTCGACAAAAGTTTTACTAAAGACCTTAGATATTTTGTCTATATTAAAATATTTCATTTGATAAATAAATTATAAAATTTCGAATATGTTCAAAAGCATTTTCAAACTGTCAAAGTTTGTTTTCATGTCTTGAGCTTTTCAGTTGATTTTAATCGAATTTCTAGAAAGCTGGCACCCCTTTTTAAATTTTTGCAAATGACATCTTTCTTAAATGTCCTTATTTGGGTATTTACATTGTAGCGCTTCTTACCTTATCTATATTTAGACTTACATATTTGAAATAGGTGGCAACTCTACTTAAAAATATTTTTTTTTTAATTATTATTTTTTAACCTTCTTAGTTAAGTACTTATGTTATATTGAAATCTAAGAGAAATTTGAATTTAGTTGAGCAAAATATTGTAAACAGTTGGTAACTCTCTTTAATTAATTGTTTTCAATTACTAGTGTGAACTTCTTTAGCTTGCTAAGCGCATTGTATTGACTTTTTTATTTAATATTTTTTTTACTTATTATTTTTTTTAAAGAGGTGGCAACCATGTAGCTGTTTTTATATACCACATCATCCGAATATTATGTAACATATACCATGTTATAAAACTACTTGTATATATCCAAAACGCTTTACACTTCAATAATAGCACTTTAAGTACATGTGCGTGACGAATTTTAGTTGTGTGACACAATTTCGTTGCATTGGAATGGTTTTTTCGGTATTTAAATTTTTTGTTTGTAGCAAGAATTTTTATGATTTTTATTTCATTTATTGAAGTAAGTCTCTAATTGTTTAGTAATACACATAAATTTATATTTAATAAGAAAAAACTAGGAAAAAACATATTTAATACTAATATTTCTATGTATGCAAATAAATTTTTTCAGCATGTTGCAAAAATAACAATGTTTCCATTGCCACAGGTGTTTATTCACGCACAAATTTCCTGAAAATAAAACACCAAAAATGACACGTAATGCAAACATATTTTATTAGTTTAACAACTTTTAACACAACAATTTGGTCGTATGTCGAGCAAAAAGCTGTTGCATTAATCATAATGAGGTAAATAAACAAATGTATGATTTCAAGTGCACGCTGTCAAACACGCACTCACTTATGTATGTATGTACTAAATCAAGTACGTATACATAAACACATATTCAATTTCTTCAAAAAAAATATATAGAGAGTTGTGGATTTAGTAATAAAAATTTTCAACACCTAAAAATCAAAATAAAAATTTCAGAATATACCTTTTTTCACAATATAAAATTTATAAGCAACTTTCGAAAATGCAAAAAGTCACGTTTGCTTACTGTTAACTCAAAAGTAAACACACACAAACAAATAAGCAAATATTTTTGATGGTCATTTCCGCTTTCTTCATTCTAAAGGTTGACAACACACTACGTTTCCGCTTCATTTTTGGCTTTAGCAAATTTTTGTGCTCTCTCTTTTGTGCAACTCTTTTAACCTGCTGTTTGTTGCCATGACTAATTCGTGCTTTTTGCCGGCATTTCAAATCATTTGTACACGTTACTCATAGCGAAATTGTCTCCAAAAGCTTTTATTTTTCACTCAAATGTACAAAATGCGAGTGAAAGCTCTAAAAGTTTATTCTAGGTGAATATATCTAAATTTTGAGTGGAGCTTAACAACAACAAGCAAGCTTATTTTTGCATACGTATATGCAAATCTATATACATATGTACATATTAGCGCTGGTCTTCGTAGTTTATCATGTGGTTGGCTTGGTGGAACTTTTGTTAGCAGCTGTTGAAACGTGACTCTGTTGCGTGTTTTATAGAAATTTACAACAATAATAACCAAATAAAGTCAGAAGTGAGTAGCTATAAAATGGTGGAAGTTGTTGGTTTGAATATGGTTTGAAATTACGTTATATATATAGAGAGTGCTCGTTTTAGAAACAGAAACGGTTGCAAGATCGTTAGGAAGCTTGAGCTTTAGCCTTATGTCGTTGCTTTTAAGAAGAAAACTAGGTTTTGCGAAATGGGTGCCAATTCCATGCCTCAATTGAAGATAATGTATATTTGGGTAGTCATCACCCCAGAACTTTGAGAGCTCCACTCCATCTATAAAAACTCCAACTAGTCATCATAACAAATTAATTTTAATTCGATTGTCTCTGTCGACTTCTTCAATTTAGGGCAACTATTTTTGCGCTTACAAATTATTTTATGACTAACATGACCTAAGACATAATAGGTGTAACTTTCTTCGATCATCTAATTGCATTAGGTCAAGTGGTCATAGTCGAACTAAATGATTGAGATGAGATGATTGATTAGATTTTATGGACAGAAACTCAGTTTTTTGCCGCTTGGTTAAAAACAAAGTCAAATCCTGAGTTGTTTACCGTCCTGACACTGAATTGCATGGGTTCTTATGTCTGAGCGGATTTCAGGTTAGAAGGTTAATCTCCCAGGTAAATATATTCCTTTGTTAAAAATTTGAGAATTTAAGTTGTGAAATTTTATTTACATTTTCTCTCCACTGAAACATTCAAAACTTTTACTAAGCTTTTGAGAAACTTTCATCAAACTTTCATCTACAGTAAAAACTTGAATATTTCAAAATTTACTGTTTTTGAGTATTCTGTTCATAATATTTTATTTCAATCACCTCCAGATCAGTATGACCGAGTATATTGTTCAGTTATATAATTCCAAATTACTAAGCGTGTCTCACGTTGTTTAAAGGATCACATTTTCGTCGATAGAGGGCGCAGTATTTTAAAACTCTGATATTTGTTCAGTTTATCAACAAATACTGTTACATATACCGTGGGCTATTTTGGAGATGGGTCGAACATTCATTATTTTATATATATCGATTTTCATACACAAAGTTCTGAATCTTCATGTTCACGAATGACGGAACATACAGACTATAACTTTGGTATAAATACGTCAAAGAAACATACAATTATAATTTCTACGCCATTGGCAACGCTGTCACATATATACATGTGACATATAAAACAAAATATAAATAAAAAAAATTAAAAAAAAAATCAAAACCCATAAGCAAAAGAACACGTAAAGACAAAAAAAGCAAACAAAATAAAGAAACACACAGCACCGAAGTTCATTAAACGCCGACACAACGGCCAAGCAGCTTGCTGCCCAACGCCACACACACAAACACAACCAAAGGTTACCAAAGAATAAAAGTGTGAAACAAAGAAGTAAATATAATGAGCTAACCAATAAAAGAGGTGTATAGTGCAAAAAGCAGTGGCAAACAAAAGATAAACAAACGAAAACCAGACGGAAAGCAAGCAGACTTCAGGCAGCGCGGCGAACTCGACAGCACACGACGCGCTCAAACTGTTGCATAGAGCCAGTCGGAGAGTTGAGGCGCACAAATGAGTGTGAGTGCGAGCGATTGAGATCACACTCAGAGTGCATTCCATGCGGCCACTCAAAAACATATCTGTGAGCTACTTGGTGGTGCATGTGTGCGTTGCGTGACTCAGCGAGCGCGGTGTGGGGCTGCACTTCTGCAGATAACGCGGCGAATTGCCAACGCTCACTTTTTGTTGGTTTTTTGTTGGGCTTCTGCTAGAGCATTTATGTTTGTATGTAATGTGTTGGTAGAATGACATATAAAATGTATAGAAGTAGATGGGGAAGCATGCCTATGAAGTGCTAGATAAATTCGCTGCGACCAAGCAGCAAGCAGATAGCATACCAACGAGCGTGTTGCCATACTATTCGCATTTGTGTGTGTGTAGCTGTGCCGTTGACTTTTTCGGCAGCAATTTTTACTCGGCTCTTCGTGCTTATAATGTGTGCTGTGTGTGTGTGTATATATGTTACTAGTGTTGTTGTTATTGTGCATTGTTGTTATTTGTTGTTGTTGTGCGCTGTTTCATATTGGGCACAACACGGCTGGTCGGTCGTCGATGCTCAACGATTTCAGTATCGCAGAGATATTCGACGTGAACGGTTCGGTGGCGACGATTTGCTGCGACACAACTAAATTGCTTAGATACGAAGCGTAGCGAAAAGCGGCGCCGCGTGTGAAGTGAAGTGTACAGTGAATGATAGCAACATTTAGCAAACATTAGATAGCTACAGCAGCAACAACAACCGCTATTAAATATACATATATAATTTAATCAAATATAAGCAGATGAGCAGCGATAGTGTTGGAAGTGACAATAGTCGAGTGACGTGCAAGAAATATATATGTATATATATAAATAATATAATATTATCTGCGTATTTACATATGTAAAATATGTGTATGTATGTATCTGTGTTAAAAAAAAATTAAATTGCTATGCGTAAAAGCAAGTGAAAATCAAAGAAATTCCAAAGTACAATTTTTCATAATTTATTTCACAGCTAAACTAAAGTATTCTACATACACAGACATATTTACATATATGTATGTATGTCTGGCGTAAGTGCGTGTGTATGTGCACGTGCGCGTACCGCTACCGCAGCGGTGATCAGCGATCAGCGGCAGCATCGTGAGTGCTTGTAAATATCACTTATATACATACTTGTGTATGTGTGTGTGTGGATATTACGTGTTTACGTGTATATTTGACTTCACCGCAAATGCGAGCCGAAAGAACTTGAAAAGAGCGAGAATCAAATATATAAAATGCATAAGTTTTAAACATAAAATATTGCCGCATAACGAAACATAAGTGGAATTATCGTAAATATGAAAATTTAAATTTTTTTACGAAAACAACAATCAACAGCAGGCTTAAGCTTTGCGGTGTTAGTTGATAATGCTGAAAGTGTTTAAATTTCAATAAAAAATCATTTAATATTTTTTATAAATTAATTGTTTTTTTTTGTACAAAATGTGTTCCTAC